AACGAGTGGCTGTTTGCGGAAAAGTTCGAATAATTTGTTTTGACAAAACTGGAACTTTGACGCAGCACCGCCTCAAGTGCGCAGGTGAGGCCGCTGTACGTACACCGCGGCCCACGCACACACAGCGAACGACCCACACGCTGCAGCAAGCCAGACGCGCGCCAGAGGCAGTAGCAGCAGCAGCAGCAGCAGCAACTGCAGCAGCAGTAGCAGCAATCCTCGTGTTTTGTCTCTGCTGTCCATAGGGCTTATACCAGCCCCCCTAAACCCTGAGGCTCAGTTCCCCAAAGAGCCCATAGATCTGCAGACCGCCTCTACTATAAGCTCGGAAGGCAAGTTTAGCTGCCGCTGCTGCTGCTGCTGCTGTTACTGCTGTTGGCCTTGAGCTTGGAGCTGCTGCGGCTGCTGGCTTGGCTGTTGCTGCTTTGGCTGGTTTTGCTGCTGCTGCTGCTGCACGTGCTGGCAGGGGTGTGTGGGGCGGCTGCTTGGGGGAGCGGCGCCGCTGCGCTGCTGCTGAGGGCTGCTGCTGCTGCCGCTGCTGCTGCACGCATGTGCTTTTGCTGCAGAGAGTTTGGCGCGGCTCTGCAGGGCCGGAGCTGGCTGCTGCCACTCTTTGGCGCTGCTGCACGGCGAGCAGCAAGGCAGCAGCTTCCCAACCCTCGTGGGGGGGGCCCTTGAAGCAGAGTGAGTCCCCAGGGGGCCCCTAGGGGCCCCTGGGGGCCCCTAGTTTCTCTGGCTGCGCCCGGGATCCCCGGCGCCCACAAACTGGGGCCCTACAGCATAGACACTTTTCCTAGCAGCCACGGTCCTGCTGCTGCTACTGCTGCTGCTGCTGCTGCTGCACTTGCTGCAGCCAGTGCCGCGGCTGCTGGCCTTGCTGCTGTTGCTGCAGCTGGTGCTGCTGCTGCTGCTGCTGCTGCTGCGCAGGCTGCTGCGAGCCAGCGGGTGGCGACTGCTGGAGACGGCCTCTTGCAGGTGCGGGGCCTGCGGAAACGAAGAAGAGAGCCGCAGGCGGCGGCTGCTGGTGGATGCTGCAGCAGCAGAAAGACTGGCAGCAGTTGCTGCTGCATGCAGAGCAGCAGACGCACAAGCTGCTGTTGCTGCTGGTCAGTTTGGACGCAGCCTAGGCTCGCAGCAACGCCTCCTGTAACGGCCAGCTAGCTACCTAACTAGCTAGCCAGCTAGCTAGCTAGCTAACTAGTTAGCCAGCTAGCTAGCTAGCGCACTAGCTAGCTAGCTAGCTAGCTGCCCGCGCCCTCCCCAGCTGGCTGAGCAGCTGACGCGGCCCGCCGAGCGCCTCTCCAGCTAGCCAGCCAGTAGCCGGATAGCTAGCCAGATAGCTAGCCACCCAGCTAGCTAGCTAACTAGCTAGCTAGCCAGCTAGCCATCTTCAGTGGCTGCGCTGCCTGTGGCTGTGGGAGTGCAGGGGGCCTCGAGTCTCTGCGGGCCTTTCCTTTTGACTTTCGTCTGAAGCGTCAAAGCTGCGTTTTGCGGCTGTCTCCGGAGACCTGGTCTTCGCTGGTGCCTGGGGGCCCCTGGGGGCCCCCGAGGGGGCCCAA